TTCAAAACTTACAAATAGATTCACTTTAAAACTAATTTAATGTTTGCATAATTTCTAAATAAAAGAAGAAAAAAAAAGAATTATTTGCTTTTAATCATGTGTTTCATATAGAAATTTTAATGCCAAGTAAAATTTCTAATTAATCTTCAACATCAATTTCATTACTTTCTTAATTTCATATAGTTGGCCATGGGTATACCCTACACTGTTGTTTTTTTTAAAGTTAAATACCTCTGCACGGTATACATTTAACCGGTACTCCGAACACTGATGTTTCTCCTAATCTATACTCATCAGATATTAAAATTTTGAATAAGTATAATAATATCAACGAATAAATTAATACAGTCGGACTTCTATTTAACGAAATTCCATTTTACGAATTTCTCTATTTTGCGAATTTTTTCGTGGAACCAAGAACATTTTGGAAATTTCTTCGTTAAATAACTTCTAAATAGCGAAGTGAATTTTCTATTTAACGAATTTTTTTTTTTAGATCTACTTTCCCCATTTCCCAAAATATTTGAGAAAATTATTAACTTGTTAACGCATTTTATGGGGGAAATGACCTTGAACTGATTTTCGCATCCCCTTAACTTTTAGAGAAAGCAGTAAAATTCCTTTCCCTTTTTGTTTGCATTTCATACAGGAAATGCAACGTCACTAGAAAAGGGGGGAAAGGGTCAAATTCCTTGAATAGGAAATGAGCAGAGAAGATAAAATGAATGGGTCATCAAAGTGTGTGGTCCCTGGTCCCTTATTGACATGTCCTATTATCCCCACCCCCACTGTTCACTTCCTTTCTAGAAAAACTTTCAATGTTCACTCAGTAGAGCTCCGTTCTCGAAATCGCCTCCTGTTTTTAGATTGCTGATCAGAGTGCTGCTTGTTGCTTTTCTTGCGGCTGCAAAATGTCGAAGCGAAAGTGCCTGACTATTAAAGAAAAAAATTTAATTCTTCAAGAAGTGGATAGAGGTGTAAAAAAAAAAGATATTGCATCAAAATTTGGTATTCCTTCAAGCAGCTTATCAACGATAATAAGAAACCGTGATAAGATTGAAAACAATGATTTACCAAATCCTTGTTCAAAACGTTTGAAAACATGTGTCTATGAAGATGTGAATGAGGCAGTTTTGAAGTGGATACACGCAATGCGAGATAAAAACGTGCCGATCTCTGGACCTTTAATAACCGAGAAAGCAATGCAATTTGCAAAGGCATTGGGACACGATGAATTTCGAGGAAGTAGTGGATGGCTTGACAAGTTTAAAAGAAAACAAGGAATTGTAGGAAAAGTTATGTCTGGTGAAAGTAATGACGTCAGTGATAAGGACTGTGAAAGTTGGATTGCAGAGACTCTTAATAAAATTTTAAAAGATTATAAGCCAGAAAACATTTTTAATGCTGATGAGACGGCTTTATTTTTTCAATGTTTGCCTCAAAAGACCCTAACATTTAAAAATGAAAAATGCTTTGGAGGAAAACACAGCAAAGCAAGAATAACTATCATGCTAGGGGCAAATATGACTGGCAATCAAAAACTAAAACCCTTAATTATAGGAAAAAGCAAAACTCCAAGATGTTTTAAGGGCACAAAATCTTTGGAGGTTGATTATGAATTCAACAAAAAATCATGGATGACGGCAGACATTTGTGAAAAATGGATTCAAAAGTTGGACAAACTTATGATTGCAGAGCATCGCAAAATTGCTCTAATTTTCGACAATTGCCCTGCCCACCCGAAGGATATCAACAAAAAACTGAAAAACATTACAGTTTTCTACTTGCCTCCAAACACTACATCGAAGCTACAACCAATGGATCGAGGGGTGATTCAAAACTTTAAACTGCACTACCGCAAAAGAATGGTACGAAAAGTTATCGCTGCGCTTGAAAATAAGCAATCAATGCCAAAGATCAATTTGCGAGAAAGCATAACAGAACTTTCCAAAGCATGGAACTCTGATGTTACAGATCGCACCATTCGTAACAGTTTTGCTAAAGGTGGGTACAGCTAAGAGAGAACCACGAAATTAATGATGATGTACGGATAAATGATTTTCTTTCTATTGATTCTGAAGCTAAAACCACCGAAACATTAACTGAATCAGATATTTTGGACTTTGTGAAAAATAAAAACAATACAGCTATTGTGAGGAAGACGAAGAAGATGAAGACGGAAATGATGAAGAAGTTAGCAAGCCTTCATATGATGAAATGTTAAAATCATTTGAAACAATTCGACGTGGATTGCAGTTTGAGGAGAATACGCCTGAAGGAATTTTTGGTGCATTACAAAAATGCAAGACCTATTATGAGAAAAAACACTTTTACAAACCCTGCCCCATGGATGTGTCGGCACCTACATGAAAGAACGAAACATTTCCGACTGCGAGAAGACGAGAAGTACAGCGAGAGGATTCGATTTTCCAAACTAAAGAGAGGAAATAATTGCTGTCAAATGGATGGACACGAAGGAAGTTTTTGTCATGTCGAATTAACTACTGTTATTAGAACTCTAAAAGATGGATCTAAGAAGGTAACATTTGGTAAACAATGGTAACATTTTACAACGAGTTCATGGGTGGAGTTGACCTCTCTGACCAACTGGGAACATGCTACGAAGTTGATCGTAAATCCAACAAGTGGTGGAAAAGGTATTCTACAGATTCCTGATAAACCTCGATTGTTAATGCCCATGTTGTTCATCAAGACGTTAATGAACGAAGACGTCCCTTGCTACCATTCCTCGTTGCTGTTGCAGAAAGTCTCCTGACATTTGGAAATGCAAACAATGAAGTCAATAAGCAGAGGCCCTCTTCCTCCAAATCTATATCATCGTCATCATCAACAGCGAGACTTTTCAATGTTGGAAACCGTTTCCCAATTGAAGGAAAAACGCGCAGAAGATGTGCTTGTTGCGCAAAAATGAAGAAAGAGGCACGCTCGAAAATAGTGCGCACCTCTTGCAACGCAGCACTGTGCCAGAACTGTTTCCAGCCCTACCACACCCTCAAGAAACCTAGACTTTAGGTACTGTTGTACATCCACTACTTTCAATTTTTTTACCGTTCTTATTTTATAACTGTTAATTCAGAAAAGTGTTTATAAGTAAATATGTTAATAAAAATGTTGAAGCAAATGCACATGAAATTGTTTATAAAAAAAACGTTGCCTAAAATAATCATTAAAATGTCAATAAAAATGAGTTATTGACTCAAGTATTCCGGCCGGGACCTACCCTGTCCCGGGGTTTAGATGCTTTGGGTTTACGGCGGGACATATGCTGTCCCATCAATAAAGCTTGTGAAATCATTTTTGTTGATGATGCGCGGTTATGGGGACGTTTATGCGTCTCCAAGACCTTCAACTTTTCAGGCATAAAAGTTATTTTTATCTAATAATCGTTTGAAGGAGAAATAACTGATCCCGGCAATGGGGCGTACTCGGACTGATTTTTCGCCGTATTGAAAGCATACCTGCCAACTTTAAATCCCTTCCATTATCATTTTTCCCAGTGGTATTAAAATGGAATTAAAACTTCAATTTTAAGCTAACAAATACGTTGCATTTGAAAAAACTTTAGTTGACAACCATGATAGTAACGCATATTAATATATGTGCTTAATTTTGGTAAGAATAGTGGTGATCAAAATCATTTAAAAATTAAGTTTATAAAAGAAAAAATAGTATATATTTACTACCACTTTAAATATGAAAAAAAATCTTCCGGAAAAGTTGGCAGGTATGTGAAAGGGTTATAACAAACACATGCAATCCATGTGCGTTGAAAGTGTAGTTATACAATTTTTTATTCGAACAAAGTAGTGGTGAATTAAATAAAGCAAACTATCCTTACCCCGACCACAATTAAACTGTTACAAAAATAATTTGGCTACCAGTTCTTTCTGTTTAACCCTGATTAATATTTACACCTAATTATTATACCCCTAAATTTTTTTGCAAATAGCGTTATAGTCGGCAGGCATGGAAATAGTTTTTAACAAACCTGCAAACTATTCCGGATTTTCCATAAGATTCTATTTTCATATTTAAAGTGGTAGCAATACTCAGGTTATTCCAATTAACTTTTTAAATTATAAATGAGTTTGACCACCGCTACATACGAATTACAATAAATATATGAAAGCATGATAATCCTTGCGCAAGCGAATTTCAACAGGATCAAATTATAAATATATTTTTGAGTCAGATTGTTTTTCGTTTATTGTTTTACAACCACTCTGAAAATCCATTCTCGGAAAAAATTAAAGTTGGCAGGTATGTTATTATTTCGGATAAAAAGTTCGATGTATACAAGTTGTACTACCAGAATTACTTTTACAGGTAATTAACAGTAATGATAATTAGCAGTACCTAACGAAATGTATGAATGTCAGAGAAAATTTAACCCCTTCCCCTCGAGAGGTGACTGTCAGTCACCTGTAAATTACCCCCCCCCCACTCTAATTGTGAAATTTTTTTCATCTTAATGTTTAGTTACCACTTCATTCAGTGATCTAATTCCATCAAGCTGACATATCACACAGGATATGCTTCTTTTCATTTTTAACTTTCAGGTTCATCTCAACCAGTAGTACAACAGTACTATGTATGTCCATTACGGATATTTTATGATGAATGGGAAAAGGACGAGCATTTGACCTCAGGAGCCCAGGTAAACCGAACAGAACAGAACATTCAGTGATCTCCGGGTATTATAAGATAAGTTTGTAAAAAAAATCGGTCAAAATGTTAGTAGTTGCGTCCATTTTTTTAACAGTTAAAAGGACTTCGAGTGCAAAAGGTTAAATGTAAAAGATTGTGTTTACCACAATAAGCAATTTTATTTGATTATTATAGTACTTACATTCTTTCTACTGTAAAACATTTAGAATATGTCTATATCATAACTGTTATTTCATTTATACATTCAACTCAAGATTAAATCCCTTCATTTTAAAATTAGAATTCTTAAGTTTACCAAACAACAAAACGCATGAGACGAATCCTTTATTTTTTTTTACATACAAAATAGAACTTAAAGTTTAACATGTGTAAAAAGTACTCTTTTAAATTTTTATTTACACTATCGTTGGTCAAACTAGTAATAAAATACTTTTCAGAAATGTGCTTTCTTGTACCACATGACCAAATGCTCCTTGTCTTGCATAATAAGTTGATCTGGACCTGAAAAGAATTGTTTCAAAAATTATTTCTTTAACTTTGTTTAGTAAATTGTACGTAAATAGACCGAGAATATTTCATTCAAATAAAAGTAAAGAGTTAATATTAGACACTGTGTGATAAAAAAAAATTTGTTTAATGGCAAACAAATCAAATGTAATTTAATTTTCCCCTTTAGATTCTTAAACGATTAAAAAAAAAGAATATTTTTCTTTGAATCTTTCAATTTCTTCTATAACACTGAGAGTTATTGAAGTTTATAAAATTTGATTTTCAAAACTGAAATTAATGAAATATTTTTTCAGACATTAACTTAAACTGTAAATTAAATAAAGATAAAAAAAAAATAATAAAAAAAAAAGTTTTTATTTAATGGATTCAGCTTTTAAAACAAAAAAATTATTAAAATCCATCTTACTATATACACTTTCATTTTGTTATAAGCCTAAAAAATAATTTAGAGGTAAAAAGTAAATTAGTATGAAAAATGTAGTAAAAATGTATATTAAAAAAAAGTATTAAATTAATTTAAAAAGTATTAAATAAAATTATTAAATTAAAAAGTATTAAATTAAATTATTAAAGTATAAAAAGGCATTAAATTCATTTTCTGATGAAAAAATTTTGCGTTAGCTTTATGTGATCGTAGAAAAATTAAAAAAGTAGTATTCGATTTCCTATTCAAACTATTTCAGTTTCCTTTTGTTTCGCTATCTACATTAAAATAAAATTAAAAATTAAAAATTTCGTTAGATTTCTGTGATCGTAGAAAAATCGTAAAAGTAGTATTCCATTTTCTATTCCAACTATCCAAGTTTCCATTTATTTTTGGAAGAAATAATGTATCTAATGTGACGACAACTTTAAATAATTCAGAAGATATAAATACTACAATGACTCCATGAAAAAAAAATATTTTGAAAGTGTTGTTATAGGGAAAAGTTTGCGCTAGAGCTTTGATAAAATTGTGTATACCATTTCAATAAATTTTCAATGCAATGTAATTTGAAATATGATTCAAATATTTAAGAAATAAATTTCTGTAATAAAATTCAAAGACTTACCGAAATTGTAGTGAGTGAGATTGTCTGTCACATTAGCTTGACCCTGATAAAGCAGCCAGAATAATCCAGCTTCTGGATCATTAGTTACTCCACTAATTTCATATACATACAGCATTCCGGAAATGGATTCGTATTTAAAACTAAAAGAGAAAAAAATCCAGTACTGCAGACTATACTTAAGAAAAACAAAATAATATTTTGCTCGATTTAATACGTGTAATAACTAGAGTTCAGCAATATAACATTGAATCGTCAAATTTTGATATCTTGAAACATTGTGATAACGATATTTTAAAGTGGTCTTACAATACTTCTAAAGTATCCAATACGATACTCATTATATCAAATATAAATTATTGTCGGTGACAATAAATAGAACAAAATATAACAGCGAGTATTTTAGAAAATGATAGATTAAAAAAAATGACGAACTGTCATCAAAAATAATAAAACCATCTTGTATTTGATGAGTGGATCATACAGTATTTAAAGATGATGATTCATATCCAGCAAGAAATAACTTTTCCCGAGTATATCAAAGATAGCGAAAGGAAGACAACCCACTGAATAATGCTGAAAGAGATTTTGAGTAGATGGAAGTAAATAAATTGAGTCCAAAAGCTCAGGATCGGATCATTTGAAGGAAACTTTGAAAGACAGCCTTGGCTTGTGATAGGCTGCAGTGCTCGAGTAGAATAAGAACTATATACTCATGATGTAACTATGGTGGCTTAGAGGATAAAATGCCTATCAGTGAGGTGTCTCAGGTTCGAATTCCACCGATGACTGTCCCGAAGCGACTCTCATCTTGATTCGCGTCGATCACAATTCTGGTGTTAAATATCCTCAGTGGTACACGGATTATTGGTTAGATTCCCCTCGTTATCAGGCTAACTGTAGGATGCTTTTGTGGTTTTCCTCTTCATGCAATACAAATGCGGATAAGTTCTATCAAAAAAGTCCTCATCGAAGGCTAGCTTGTCCCACAACTTGATTCATGAGTTCTCTTGTTTTCTGAGTAGGGTTCTAAATTATAAAGCTATGGAGTTTAACATTGATAGTCATAAACTCAAAAGTGATTTGGCTGCTCGAAGTCGTTTTTAAAATAAAATCAACTTACGACATATATTTTATGAGTCACTTTCGTTGAATATTTAAAACGTTTTACTAGTCCTAGTGTTTAGATTTTATTGGGCACCTGGGCCGTGAAGC